TCCCGGGTTTACGCCATTCTCCTGCCTCAGCCTCCCAAGTAGCTGGGACTACAGGCGCCTGTCACCACGCCCGGCTAGTTTTTTGTATTGTTTAGTAGAGACGGGGTTTCACTGTGGTAGCCAGGATAGTCTCGATCTCCTGACCTCGTGATCCACCCATCTTGGCCTCCCAAAGTGCTGGGATTACAGGCTTGAGCCACCGCGCCCAGCCTGTTGTTGTTTTGAGACAGAATCCAGCTCTGCTGCCCAGGCTGGAGTGCAGTGGTGTGACCTCAACTCACTGCAAACTCCACCTCCAAGGTTCAAGCGATTCTTGTGCCTCAGCGTCCCAAGTAGCTGGGATTACATGCGCACATCATCAAGCCTAATTTTTTGTTTTTCATTTTTAGTGGAGATGGGGTTTCACCATATTGACAAGCCTGGTCTCAACCTCCTGACCTCAAGTGATCTGCCCACCTTGGCCTCCCAAAATGCTGGGATTACAGGTGTGAGCCACTGTGCCCAGCCATGTATTTTTGTACAATTACTAACGGCAGCAATTGTCTGCAAGCTGCCAGAGCAAATTTTCTAAATCATATTATCCAGAGGCAACTGGGGGCCAACCTTTTTTGCAGGCAACAGCATGAATCTGAGTATAAATACTGGGAAGGAGCCTAGAAATGAACAACAGGCTTCCTGTCCCCACCACCATGTTTATTTTTTCTATTTTTCTTTTTATTGTAGAGACAGGGTTTTGCTGTTGGCCAGGCTGGTGTTGAACTTCTGGCCTCAAGTGATCCCTCTGCCTCAGCCTCCCAAAGTGCTGGGAGCCATAAACCTCAGCACCCAGCCCCCATACCATGTTTTTGAGATGGTGTATCACTCTGTCACCAAGGCTGGAATGCAGTGGCATGATCATAGCTCACTGCAGCCTCGAACTTCTGGGCTCCAGTGATCCTCCTAACTCAGCCTCCCCAGTAGCTGGGACTATAGGCTTGTGCCACCACACCCTCCTAATTTAAAAACTGCTTTTATAGAGAGGGGTCTCACTATGTTGCCCAGGCTGGTCTCAAATTCCTGGGCTCAAGCAATCCTCCTGCCTCAGCCTCCCAAAGTGCTAGGACTATAGGTATAAGACACCACGGCTGGCCTCTACCCCACTTAGTGTGGCTTATAGTACAGGCTGAGTGTTATCTGAAATGCTTGGGACCAGAGGTGTTTTGGATTTGGGATTTTTTCAGCTTTTGGAAATCTGAAATCTTTTGGAACGTCTTTATATACTTACTCGTTGAGCATCCCTAATCCAAAATCCAAAATGCTCCAATGAGCATTTCCTTTGAGTGCCATGTCAATACTCAAAAAGTTTTAGATTTTGAAGCATTTCCAATTTTCAGAATGCAGATCATCAACCTGTACTATACTTCTTTAGCTTGGTGAAATAAACATGGGTAGTTAAATGTCTGAGTAACAAGAGTGGAATGACAGAACTGGGTACTTCTGTAACGATCAGCCAGACAATAAGCTCCCTATTTTTTCTGCTTCTGAAATCCGCTTCAACCATGTTGGCAAGGATGGTCGCGATCTCTTGACCTCGTGATCTGCCCACCTTGGCTTCCGAAAGTGCTGGGATTACAGGCGTGAGCCACGGTGCCCGGCCCAAGCTTAATTTTTAAAGACAGACTGAAAACTGCTTTATTATCAAGGGACTTGCAATCTATGCCTAATTGCTCATGGGCTCAAACCTCTTACTTTTCAGTAAATAAGTGAATTAAACCAAATTACAGAGTAAAAAACATTTCAAAGTATACAGGCGTGAAGAGGTTCCCTTGAAGGTGCCTATGAATGGCTTAGAGGAAAATTTTAAATTTAGCTCATTTTCCACTCACAGATTTTTGTTTGTTTGTTTGTTTGTTTTTTAAGACAGGGTCACACTCTGTTGCCTGGAATGGAGTGGAGTGGTGCAATCTCAGCACTGCAGCTTCCACCTCCTGGGCTCAAGCAATCTTCCCACTTCAGCCTCCTGAGTAGCTGGGACTACAAGTGCATGCCACCATGCCCAGTTAATTTTTGTATCTTTAGTGGAGATGGGGTCTTGCCACATTGCCCAGGTGGGTCTCGAACTCCATCTTGAAAAAAAAAGGTAGATTAAAAAAATTATAATTAAAAAAATTATGATGAGTTGGCTGGGCGTAAAAAGAAGAAAAGAGTTGCCGGGCTCGGTGGCTCACACCTGTAATCCCAGCACTTTGGGAGGCCAAGGTGGGTGGATCACAAGGTCAAGAGATCAAGACTATCCTGGCTAACATGGTGAAACCCCCGTCTCTACTAAAAATATAAAAAATTAGCCAGGTGTGGTGGCAGGCACCTGTAGTCCCAGCTACTCAGGAGGCTGAGGCAGGAGAATCCCTTGAACCTGGCAGGTGGAGGTTGCAGTGAGCCAAGATTGTGCCACAGCACTCCAGCCTGGCAACAGAGCAAGGCTCTGTCTCAAAAAAAAGAAAGAAAAAAGAGCTAACTAAAAAAATAGAAAAATTAAAAAAAATAAAGACGGGTCTCATTATGTTGCTCAGGCTTGTGTTGACCTGCTAGGCTCAAGCTATCCTCCCACCTCAGCCTCCTGAGTAACTGGGATTACAGGTACACACCACCACACCTAGCAATATGGTACTATTAAGGGCACTAACTCGTTTAGAACATATTATTATTTTTTTTTTTGAGACGGAGTCTTCCTCTGTCACCCAGGCTGGAGTCCAGTGGCGCAATCTCGGCTCACTGCAACCTCTGCAGGTTCAAGTGATTCTCTTGCCTCAGCCTCCTGAGTAGCTGGGATTACAGGTGCCTGCCACCATGCCCAGCTAATTTTTGTATTTTTAGTAGAGATTGGGTTTCACCATGTTGGCCAGGCTGGTCTCAAACTCCTAACTTCAAGTGATCCACCCAGCCAAAGTGATGGGATTACAGGTGTGAGCCACTGCACCTGGCCAAAGATGTCCATTTCTATTCTAGGATGCACATGCTAAATCGGAGACAAATCCGTATCAAGATCAAATCCAGAGCTGAAGCACAGTGTCAGCATGGTAGGATTGGGAGGAACTGAGAAGAGGAAAAGGGCAATGCTAAATGAAAAAGTCAAGTCTAAGAGAACTTTCAGGGGGAAATTTGGCTTAAGCTACACTTTGTTTTTTGTTTTTTGAGATGGAGTCTCCCTCTGTCACCCAGGCTGGAGTGCAGTGGCGCTATCTTGGCTCAGTGCAAGCTCCGCCTCCCAGGTTCACGCCATTCTCCTGCCTCAGCCTCCTGAGTAGCTGGGACTACAGCGCCCGTCACCATGCCCCGCTAATTTTTTTTGTATTTTTTTTTTTTAGTAGAGACGGCGTTTTACCCTGTTAGCCAGGACAGTCTCGACCTCCTGACCTTGTGATCCACCCGCCTCGGCCTCCCAAAGTGCTGGGATAACGCGCATGAGCCACCGTGCTGGCCCTTGCGCTAGACTTTGAATGGCAAATATGATTTGAATTGAGGGAAATCAGTGTATACAGAGTATAATGATTTCTGTGTGACTAAAATAGATTCTATATAGTGGATAAGCCTTTAGAAGTAGGTTGGTACAAGTTTATAGTAAGCTTTGGATACCAAAATGAAAAGTTTAAACCATCTGTTTTTCTTTTTTTTTTTTTTTTTTTTTGAGACGTAGTCTTGCTCTGTCACCAGGCTGGAGTGAAGTGGCGTGATCTCGGCTTATTGCAACCTGCACCTCCCGGTTTCAAGCGATTCTCCTGCCTCAGTCTCCCAAGTAGCTGGGAGTATAGGCACCCGCCACCACGCCCAGCTAATTTTTTGTATTTTCAGTAGAGACAGGGTTTCACTGTGTTAGCCAGGATGGTCCCGATCTCCCGACCTCATGATCTACCCACCTTGGCCTCCCAAAGTGCTGGTATTACAGGCATGAGCCACTGCACCCGGCTATCTGTTTTTCAAAGAAGTAGACATTTAGCTTCTGCCTTTATAAAATTAATAATCTGCCTTGGATTGTGGCTAAATTGTGTGAATGCTGGTATTTCAACAGACTGTAAGCATCATGTCTGATTCAATGCTGTATCTTTTATTGGAGTTTAACATGCCTACATAGTAAATACTTGGTAAATGTGCTGAATGACCAAATGATTCCCAGGATGAGCTAGTCAGCTCAGAGTCCAAACATGGGGACTTGGGCTGGTAAGCCACCTAGGCTTTGAATCAAACAGCTGCATCTGAAAGTTTTATGTTAGAATAATAATGCCATATATTACATTTCTGTGCAATAAGTAAGTCCACCTCTAGCTCCTCTCCCCACCATAATCACAGCAGTCAGATAAAAAGTTGAGTTTATTAGGGAAATATGGGAGGCATAGACACTCCCAAGTGACAGAAAGAAAAGTCTAAAAATGTCCCTTCAAGCCAAGTGGGGGCCTGGCCTTGACCTCCCCAAATCAACAAGAAACTGGTGGGTCTGCAACAACATTCTCTGGCAGCCACATTGCCAGGGCATGAGTGTCTTGGCCAGGATTGCCCCCCACTTCCCACCAAAGGTGGGGAGGAGATAAAGACTGTTCACAGAAGCAGTACAAAGGCAATGAGAACTCTAAGGAAAGTTTGAGACAGAGAGAAAGAAAGATAGAGGCGGGGAGGACCTTCACAAAGAGTCCCAGGGTTTTGGCTGTGAATGTCTCAAATACATTGACAAGTAGATCTATAAAATGTTACTGAAAAGGTAAAATGCCTAATGTCGTTTCCAACAGTTCCTCTGGACTTCTCCCCACATAACACACCACACCCCAGATGGCAGAGCCCAAAGGCCACACTTTTGAAAAAAGAAAAACAAGAATAAGCCCTGTTGCTCTTTAAGGAGAAAGGAAGGAGCTGAAGGCTGCTGGGGCCTTTCCCATGTGGCCTGTGTTGTGTAAAGCAACTTCCCAGCAGCAGCACGTCACTGTTCTAGGTGAGTGTCTCACCTTTTGTCACCTGTGAAAGGAAAGGAAAATTGACATTTAGATAAATTCAAAAAGATTAGAGGGGTCTAAAAAAAATTCTTTCTTTAGATCCTAGGCAGTGAGAAATAGTAGAAAAGAAGATAGCTGTGAAGTCACAGAAACCTGGTTCAAATCCAGGCAATCTGCTTAACTTTTCTTTTCTTTTTTTGAGACGGAGTCTCACTCTGCCACCCAGGCTAGAATGCAGTGGTGCGACCTCGGCTCACTGCAACCTCTGCCTCCCAGTTTCAAGTGATTCTCCTGCCTCAGCCTCCCGAGTAGCTGGGACTACAGGTGTGAGCCACCATGCCTGGCTAATTTTTGTATTTTTAGTAGAGATGGCGTTTCACCATGTTGGCCAGGCTGGTCTTGAACTCCTGACCTCAGGTGATCCGCCACCTCGGCCTCCCAAAATGCTGGGATTACAGGCGTAAGCCACCATGTCTGGCCAGTGCTTAAGCTTCCTAAGACTGTTTCTGCTTTCAGGTTTTTTTCAGTAATAAGTGGAAATGCGCATTCTCTCTTGGAATGCCCTGGCCCATCAAACTCACCCGTGCTTCAATGTACTCTATTCTCCGTTCAAGGGCTGTCAATTTCTCGTTTAGTGTTGCAAGTCTTGAACGACAAGACATATCTAAGAAAAAGAGACTGGTGTTCAGAATTAAGGTCACTTCAAACAGACACACACAACTCCTACACTGAAAAAGAGGAATACTACACAGAATACAAATGGAAATGGATACAGTGAGAAGTATCTTAGCACAGTTCCTTAGAGTGGATCTGCTGAATTTCCTATCAAGTATTGCAAGTAGAGAATAACGGCCCCACAAAAATGTCCTTTCCGGCAGGGTGTGGTGGCTCATGCCTGTAATCCTAGTACTTTGGGAGGACTAGACAGGTAGATCACCTGAGGTCAAGAATTCAGGACCAGCCTGGCCAACATCGTGAAACTCTGTCTCTTATTAAAAATACAAAAATTAGCCGGGCATGATGGCACATGCCTGTAATCCCAGCTACTCGAGAGGCTGAGGCAGGAGAATCGCTTGAACCGGGGGTCAAATGTTGCGGTGAGCCAAGATCTCGCCACTTCACTCCAGCCTGGGTGAAAGAGCAAAACTAAAAAAAAAAAAAAGTCCTTTCTCTAATCCCTGGATCCTGTGAATATGGATTATACGTGAGGAAACACGGCTTTGCAGGTATGATTAAGGTTAAGAACCTTGAGATCCTAGAGTTTGTCTTGGATTGTCCATTTGGCCCCAATCTAATCATAAGCTCACAAATGTAGGTGAGAAAGGCAGAGGAAGGGGGTCAGAGATGAAATGGAAGAAGAAAAAGAGATTCGATGTGTGAAGGGGATGCAATCTGCCATTGTTGGCTTTGAAAGTGGAAGAAGGGAGTCATGAGCCAAGGGATGTAAGTCACCTTTAGAAGCTGGGAACAACTTTCAGCTGACAGCCAGTAACAAAACAGAGATCTCAGTTCTACAACCACGAGAAACTGAGTTCTGCCAACAACCCAATATTCGAGGAACTAGACCCTCTCCTTGAGCCTCCAGAAAGGAAGGCAGTCCTGCTGAAACCCTGATTGGAGCTCAGGCCAGGAGCAGTGACTCATGCCTGTAATCCTAATACTTCAGAAGGCCAAGGTGTGAAGATTGCTAGCCCAGTTACCAGTGTTCAATTTATGACCTACACATGGTAAATAATAAATTTATGTGGTTTAAGCCATAAAATGTGTGGTAATTTTTTTGTTTGTTTGTTTTTGAGACGGAGTCTCACTCTGTTGCCAGGCTGGAGCGCAGTGGTGTGATCTCAGCTCACTGCAACCTCTGCCTCCCAGGTTCAAGTGATTCTCCTGCCTCAGTCTCCCAAGTAGCTGGGACTACAGGTGTGCACCACCATGCCCAGCTAATTTTTTTTTTTTGTATTTTTAGTAGAGACAGGGTTTCACCACGTTGGCCAGGATGGTCTCAATCTCTTGACCTCGTGATCCACCCACCTTGGCCTCCCAAAGTGCTGAGATTACAAGTGTGAGCCACTGTGCCCAGCCTGTGTGGTAATTTGTTATGCCAGGAATAGCAAATGAATACACCAAGGCTGTACAGCCATTTACTAATGGCCTAAGTAAGACTTTCAAAAGAGGGGACATGGCAAGAATAAGAAAATAATCTCAATAGGAAAGAAATGAGGCCAGGTGCAGTGGCTCATGCCTGTAATTCCAGCACTTTAGGGAAGCCAAGGTGGGCAGATCATCTGAGGTCAGGAGTTTAAGACCAGCCTGGCTAACATGGTGAAACCCCATCTCTACTAAAAGCACAAACTTAGCCGGGCGTGGTGGCAAGTGCCTCTAGTCCCAGCTAGTTGGGAGGCTGAGGCAGGAGAATCACTTGAACCTGGGAGGTGGAGGTTGCAGTGAGCCAGGATCGCGCCACTGCACTGCAGCCTGGGTGACAGAGTGAGACTCCATCTCAAAACAAACAAACAAAAAAAGTCGAGGCCAAGAAAGCAGCAGAAATTATGGAGAGGGAAGGTGTGAGAGTTCTGAGCTCATTAAAGCCATGTCACTACTGTTCCTCCTAGAGGCAAAAGGCCTTTCAGAACTAGAGAAAACTTGGAGAACATCAAATACCCTATAAAGCCCACATTCCATCTGTGAAAACAGCCAAAATTCTTTTTCTTCCTCTAGCTTTTCCAGTCTTCTTTTACCATCTCATTCAAAATGAAACCAGATTTAATTTAAAACATCTTTTTCTCTGCAAACTTCTGTAACAGGAACTATTCTTTTTCCAACTATTCTCAATATATGAGAGAAAAGGTATCTTAGCATGGTCATTATCTTCTACTCTCTCCTCCAACATTGTTGTTCAGTCATCTCTCAATAACCTACAGTTTTTAAGTTTGAAACATTCGCTGAGACTCTCCCACGCAATGATTTAACACTTAGCTAACAAGCTGCCTTTTCATCTATTCCCTGGCTGTTTTGCAAAAGCGCTTCAGCATCCATTTTGACAAATCTTCCTACACCCTAATCTTGCCTCAACTTTCATCTTATTATATCCAAATCTTACTCATCTTGCCTGCCTATCTCCCCCAAGGCTAAGTTCAAATTCTATCTCTGAGAGGTCTTGCCAGATGGATATCATAATTCTCTTCTGTATTTACCTAAACATTTACGGATGAATATCTTTTTTTTTTTTTTAAGAGACATGGTCTTGCTCTGTCACCCAGGCTAGAGTTCAGTGGCACAATCATAGCTTACTGCACCCCTCAACTCCTAGGTTCAAGTGATCCTTCCACCTCAGCCTCCCGAGTAGCTAGAATTACTACTCAGTAGGTGGATGCCACTGTGCCCGACTAATTGTTTTCTTTTTTTTTTTTTTTGGTAGAGATCGGGGTCTCACTTTGTTGCCCAGGCTGATCTCAAACTCCTGAACTCAAGCAATCCTCCTGCTTGGCCTCTTAAAGTCCTAGGATTACAGGCATGAGGCCCTGTGCCAGCCTCTGAAGTTCTAAATTGTAAGTTATTCATGTACTTGGTCTTTGGTTATCACTTCCCCCTTTGGATAAAGATTTTACAAATAAGAATGTGCATCACTATTATTTAAGATGGTGAAAAAGCAACAAAACCAAATGCCCATGATTGGAATGGTTTGATATAGTGTATCAATGAGACTATTAAAATAGGCATTAAAAGTTACAATGGCCGGGTGCAGTGGCTCATGCCTGTAATCCCAGCACTTTGGGAGGCCGAGGTGGGCGGATCACTTGAGGTCGGAGTTCAAGACAAGCGTGATCAACATGGAGAAACCCCATCTCTACCAAAAATACAAAAAAAAAAAAAAAAAAA